GATTTTCAAAAACTGAGGTACAGAAACAAAGTGGACAACAATTTACTTTTTCTTTTTTACTAACAGCTGTGAGAGTTTTCGAGTTAGTGACAGGAGCAATCCGGGAAGAGAACTATTCTTATTTTATATACACAGAGCGGGTTCCCAAATGGAAGGACGAAAATTCTTACCTGTACCCACCCTTCAGTTGATCTACCCTAACACAAGCTGTAATCTAATAACGTCCATAGTTTAAGATTTCAAATGTAGGTGGTTTTACGCCCCCTATTGACGCAGTTTGGATCACCCAGGACACAGGCATCGATCCTGCCAAGAAGGGCCAACCCCGACTGAGAAGGATACAACGTTCCAGCAGATCTACCGAGATACTCAATAAAAATTATTCTAAAGGCTAAACGCTTGGTGATTTAAAAAAAAGTGTAAGCCTTTCAAAGCCCCTATCAACAATTTAGATATTTTAGGAATCGGACTTAAGTCCTTCCTTTCATGGCCAACCTTCGATTTGAGAGATACAACATTCCAGGAGAAATACTAGATCCAAGAAATTGGATTAAAAAAAAAAAAAACCTCCACAAACTCGAATAGAGCTCGGGTATTCTGCGTGCGACGGCCTTGCGCCCCACAGTCACACAAAAGATGCTGGTAGCTAAACTCTGTGTGAAAAATGTTATAAAAATGGTGGTCGCTATTACAACGGGACATTAACAAGGCAGTTATGGGCATGTACCGCCTGCTATGATTCTAGCTCTGGATCCAAGTAAATTAACAAGGTATCCTCATGGTCTATAGGTTTACGCTGTTTGCCTCTCATTCAACAGGTCCCTGGCTCGAAACTTGAACGCGAAGGAACATTTTCTTCTCTAAAATTGTGTTCTCCTTTCACCTCATTTCCTGCTTTCTAACCATGTTCTGTTGTTGGCTTTCGACTCAACTTTCTGCCCCCTTCCCCCCTGCCATTCGCCCCCTTCTCTGGGCCCCTGACTCTTTCGGCAGCCTTTCTACGGCTACTCCTTGGCTCCTTCTTATTGCTGTATTTCAGCCACACCCTGATCTTATGGTAGATAAGATCTAAGACCTATCCTTTTCGGATAAGGGCAAAAAATCTCGGATATCCTGTGTGCAAGTTGAGCTCGGTAAAGATCCATTGGGGGTCCTAAAATCGATAAGAGTAGGCCTCGGCTGCCACCCGGGCAAAATGAAAAATTCCTACCAGACTGAACATGTTTAATGACTCCCTTGCGCTCATATGATATTATGCAGTTGCGAGTGCTAATTTAGTTTAGTTTAGTAAGAGTTTTACGGCGCTCGTAACTGCATAAGATTATATGAACGCGCGAAAAAAATTGGTTACATTCACAACACGGCTTGATTCTGATCCATATTTAGATTAAAACGTTAAAAACTCAAGATAAAAATTATAGTTTTAAAATAACATTTAAATTATATTAAAACAACGGTATTTACAATGCACTGCAAAGGCCACTGGGCTTTATGAAATCGAGAATTCTGTTAGATCAACGAAGGAGAACAGACATTTCAATCTTGTGCATTTAGAATACTTCCTTCGGGCCTCTCCAAAGTCTGGACATTTTGTTAATATGTTACTCTTGGTAAAATCTGTGTCGCATTCGATACAGAACGGTTTCTCACCCTGCCTGAAAGAGGTATTTATGTGTCAGGGAGGTGTGTCTGATACGCAATCGAGTAAAAATGACTTTGTCTCTTCTGGAGAGGCCCGAAGGTTTTCGTAGACCCAGTTTGGGCATGATGTGGTGAAGTTTATTGCGAGTGCCGTAAAACACTTACCAAAATGAATGAATTAAAAACAAAAATTGTATTGTTTCATCTATTGGTCATTCTACGAGGACGCTGCCTTATCCTGCTCACTTCTTTTCATTTATTTCCTTATGAATAAGACTATCGTGTCGGTTTTTCTGTTCCTACTGGTTCTACTGTAACTCACCAGTGCTCCAGAAGTTTATTTTCTTGTATAACGTGTCAATCAATCCGTCCGTCGGAATGTCACGGCCAAGCTGATCTGCCATTTTCGTCGCACTCACTGTTAAAACGGTTGTGCTTTCTATCGTCAGCTGGGCATGTATGCAATGAGCAACAAAATAGTTGCCGGTCAGTCAGAAAGTTGGTACGGTAACTTCTAGTCAAGACTTGCTAAGACATGTGAAGAGTGTTAAGGGCTGTTCGTTCTTCTTTTAACATTTTTTTCTTCCACTTCTGTTGGAATTGTTTAAAAACTCACTCCCTCCGCCCCCACCCCTAAACCC